TGACTGAATGGATAATACTAGAAATCAACGTAAATTTATTTCAAAATAATGTTATTATAGTTACATAAATAGTCTAACAACATGTTAAGAAATGTGTTGCCAGGCTCATTTCAAGTTTGTTAAAACTTAATTTTGTACTGTATTGCCAGAAAACAGCGTTGTTTTTATTGAAAATTAAGGTAGGCCTAAATATACATCTTTTTACTGAACAATAACGCTATAAAATATAATATAATTCATTAACCAAAACAAATATAGTTAATTTACTAGTTTAACAACATGCTAAGTAATGTGTTATAAGGTTTATCAATATGCGTTACTGTTGCCAGAAAAAGCAGCATTTTTTCATTAAAAAATATTGTAAATAGGCCTATACATTTTTTACTGTATACGGAAAACGCTATAATATAAAATATAATTCATTTAATTATAATATTACTATATACATGACTATTATAACAACATTTGTTGCCAGGTTTATTTCAAGTATGTTAAACTCAATATTATACTGCATTGCATGTAAATCAAACAACTTAAATAAACTTTCTGAAAACCAAACAAATTCAAACACCACTCTGCAGCAATCCATGATAAATTCGCTTTCAACGACGAATTCACCATGAAAAGTTAATTGTGCCATATACAATTGGATGTTAAAGTTCAACTGTTTAGTGGACAAGCATGTGGAGGTTGTTATTGTGATTCCTCTTCGGCAGCTTAAAGAACATCTTCATCTGACCTGTCAACAGTTTAGTAGCCTACAGTATACTAACTGCGTCTTGACATTTCTCTAGAAAATAGCTTTACATCTTTTGCTCAGATTTCGGTTGATTTAGATAACTAACTAACTCGTCGTCCCTAGCTATTTATTCTCATGTCTTTCTCAACCTCTGACACTAACTGTTTAGAATTTCTTTTGAACATATTCTTTTTGTTGTTTCTAAAAATCATGTGTTTTTTTCTTGTTTTCTTTAAATGTGAAGGTGCGTATTTAATAAGTGTTGAATATATTTTCAGTAAACTTCTATCAGATTACTCTTCATACTCTTCATATCCACACCTATTTGTGACCCAAGACCACAAAAGGGCTGTAAACTCAACAGGTTTCGAGAAAAAGAGCCTAATAGACAGTATAACATGTAATTTGAGCAAAATGTGATTATATCATAAATATAAAGTATTACCTTTACTCGTACTATTTTAAAAGTTTGGGTTCTCAACTCTAAATCCTAAAATTCAGTAATTTTATGAAGGCCATTCTACGAGAAACGTATATAAATTTACCAACTTTCAAACCGCCATACTTCGCTTCCAAACAACTTATTCACCTACATAAAATTCAGGCCCCCAACTAGATAAATGAAAACTATCGGATAATAATACGTTTATTAGTACTCGTATGCAATGTTTGTGATTTCAGAATAAACAAACAGTATAGTTATAAAATAGTAGAATGGTCACAGAGTTAGTAAAGGTAAGTCTAAAACGTATTCATGAAGTCATTCAAAATCGTGTACAAATACAAAATACAAAACTTTAAAGTATGTTCCGAAAGTATTTGTAGTGCATCGTACTGTGGTACAAAGCTTACGTAATTGACCTAAATCAGGGAACAGTGAAATTACAATTTCACTGTTACCTGCCTAAATGAAGGAAATAACCTTGAATTAATTCAAGGTACACTACACTGGCAGTGAAGTGGATTAGAAATTATGTGGATTGCGGTTGAGTACATGTTAAGAAACTAGTTGTGGTTATTGAAACTTTAAAAAAATATTGACGCCAGCAGAATAATCATCAGCACTATTTTCAGCGATGTGAAACTAAAACGTATTGATGAAGTATATTTACACAACGTCATTCAAGTCATGTAGAAAATAGTTAAACAGCTTTAAATAACCAAACAAAAACGTGCGTGTCAACATTACAATTGCTTTAGAAATATATCTTCAAAAGTAATTTTCTAGATCATAGCACCATTGTACAGACTATCTTTAGTACTAAATGAAAACAATAACCTTGAAGTAATTCAAAAGATACGAAGCCGTTCATGTCTTGTTTAAAAAAAAAAATGAT